GTGTGTGTGTGTGTGTGTGTGTGTGTGTGTGTGTGTGTGCGTGTGTGTGTGTGCGTACATATATACATATATATATATATATATAGTACTTATGTATATTATACCTATTGGAATGGTAATAAACATACAAAGACTAAGAATCTGGAATTACCTTAGCTGTTATGGAGTAGACACATAAAAATCCGTCTCCACTGTGCATATATTGTTCTCGCATCGAGCTATATTCTTCTTGACCAGCCGTATCTGGCGGGATCGCAAATAGGGGTAGTTTGTACATTGTAGGTATATTAAAGTAAGTTCATACATTGTAGTGAAACTCACCTAGCACTCTATATTTTGTTCCTCGCTGCGACAGACGAGTAGAATCGGCAGAACAATCATAGACAGAAGGCGGATATATACAACAGACAGTATAACCAAACGAATGCATATCATTCTCATCTATCTCGTTGGTTATTTCCATAGGAAATTTTACCTTATACCTTGCGATAGCAACATTCACATCCAAAAGAAAGGTCATCGCGAACGACTAACGCGCACTGAGATATCCAATAAGTGTAAGGTATGGCGACAGCAAAAAGCTGAGGTCAGGCGTGCCTCAAACTATATATCATACCGAGGATGTCAAGTAATACAGCTTCTTCATCAATCGAGCATGACTTTCGATAGGCATCTTCGATTGTGGGGTCGTAATCATCTACAAATTGCCCCCTTGTGAACATGATGGTCATGCACGATTTTCCCTGAACGGAAAGAACAATACGCAAAATATAAAATATCAGCATGAACTATGTGATCTTCTGTGCACATATAACAGTCTTCGGTCTAGCTTCGGTATACTATGGTGATTGCAAACACTCAAATGAAAGAGGAACCTCGCAGCTTCAAAAAACATAATCAGGACCGAAATGGAACGATACCAAGAAGAATACGTGCTCAACAATAGATAATCGACAACGCTTTTTAAGCGTTGGTGCGCACATACGGGTTAGCAATATTTAACTACCTACATATATGGAATGCGATACATACACATTGTATACAAGGTCAGATGAAATTAGTTGATATCAGATGGTGATTGTCATCTTGCGCACGTTATTCGCAAACTCAGTATAAGCGGTGAAAATCGAAATGCTACGTAAAGTAGATAAGTAAACCGCACGAGGCCTGCGCTACATCGGCGCCGGCGTAATAGGAGCACTTGTACACAGACGGCTGGTTAGTAGATATTTAATTACGTTGTGTACGACCTAGTAAAACTATATATGCGTAGGTGACAAACTTTTCAAGAGACATCCAACCAAAACAAAACATAGGCATATCAACTCAAACTGATCACATATACATTAAACAGAGACACAACTGATAAATAGATGGCTATCTTTACTTCACTTCATTCTTAATCGCATATATATACTCGACGACACCAGGGCGACAGAAGAACTCCACGGCAAACGAATAAGCATAGTGGTGACGTGCGCGATACTAAACATACTTAGGCCGAGTTGACGTTATTCACGTTAAGAATCACATTAACATATATATGTGTTCAAACTTATCACGCAGTCACACATGCGTACAGTGACATACCACAGCACCATCGCCCATCACGATGAGTCTATAGCTGTCTGCATTCTTGGCACTCGCCATAGTGCACCTAAGAAAATGAGCTTACAACGGTGAATAGCCACTGAATGTCTTCTTATTATGCTTAGTCTAGTCTCTCCGCTGAGGCATGTGGTAGGTGTGTACTTATATATACAGTTCTCTCAACAGGTGAATCGAAGCTAGACGATGATATATACATGTCAACTATTCGCTAATTACATACTGATGTATCATAAATTTACTCCTTTTTAACACATATGCGGTATCCCCCTCCTAGAGATTCTGGAAGCCTTCTCACAGTCTCTCAGAATCTTTTCAGTGCTTTCCCCTCAGAATCTCAGAGACTCATCAGACCATCCCCACAATTCCCCTCTTTTCTCCGAACGGGGCCCATAGTCCCGTAGAGGCGTAGGCCGTATTTACTATTTACACATATTTATGTGGTCACTGGTCACTGGCTCTGGTGAGTCGCGGGCCGTTTATTTTTATTTTTGAAAAATAGCTTTTTTGGGACATTTTTGTGATATGTGAACCTACAAAATCCACTCTCGCGGAGAGCCGGAGACTCTTCGTATAGACTATAGAGTGGGTTGTATTTATTTATTTATTTAGTCGCACGGTGGAGAAATATTGCTCACAGGACTCTGGAATCGTCCTCTCTCGAAATATCATAAAAGTAGATGGAAACCCTACATGGCAAGGTTTTGAGCCGAAAAATATATATGTAGCCGTGTAGGACAATAGGGCTGTAGGCTTGTACTCATGACACCTGACTATTGATCAAAAGAAGCCAATGAACTATTCTTATATCGTTAACTAAAAATAACCATCAGTCAACCCCACCGTTTATATATACTCAGCCTATTTCTATAAATAAAAAATGCATTCCCACAAAAAAAGAGACTGCGGATGATGTCAAATCCTCCGCAGTGCCTTTTTTCGACAGGCCAAACTGACAAATTCACCAGTCGGCTGATTTCAGCAAGCGACTGACAACCTCTATTGAATCATCGTAGCATTCCTGTGCGTGGTGTGACAGTGGTGTCGGTAGGAACCGGTCTTTCGTTCGTGTTTTTGTTCACTTTTTGTATATTTATACCCACTCGTTCGTGTGCGTGGTGTCTATTTCGGAACAATTATCTTGCCGTAGGCATACCTGTTGCATACGTGTATAAGAGACGATACACGAGTGTCCTAAACGTCATAGAAACGTGTTCACTGAATTGTCATCTAAATACTGCTTTGAAACATGTCTCTTGTTGCCTTGGGCCGTTCAGCCTTGAATAGAGCGGTGAAGCAGCCAGCTATTCTCGCACCGTTGGTTCAAAGCCGCCTCGGGTCTTCCGCTGCCGTTACCAATAAGTGGTTCGAGTATGTTGTCAGATATTTTAATTGTATCCTTCGTTGTCGTCAGTGTACTTTGTGTATGTGTGTGGACAAGTGTGTTCTCGCTGTGTTCGGTATCAAATAATTCCGTGTACTTAATAGTGTGATATGATGAGTCAATAGATGTCTTCTTTGCATTTAGGGTTGTGGTCAACTAAATCTACCCAACGTGCTTTTTTATATCTGGTGGTGTGTGCTTCCCTGAGTGTGCGCGTTCTGATTCACAGAACCGGAGATAGCCCCTGCCTGCAGTTATATCATAAGACGATAGTCTTTGTCTGTCGGATCACTCGTGTATATGTTTCTTTGCAGTCGCATGATCATTATATATGATTATTTCAGTTCCTTTGTCTTCCATGTTTGCTTCTGGTATTTACACGATTGTGAATGTCAAGTCACGCACTCTGCATGTCGAAAGCCAAGCCACGAATGCGTAGATATTGCACAGACTAACATCAGTAGCAGCCGCATGTGTTTGTTTTTTTCGTGTATAAGGATGACGGCAGTTCATAGAACTATGGTCGTAGAGCATTCTTAACTGAGCTAAATATATGACTTCTACGCGCTTTTGTTAGGGATCACAAAGCAGATGTGCCTCCACGACACACGCCGGTGATCTCCCGGGATTACAGTCGTTTCGTCGGTATGACCGGTGGTCAGATTTTCCATGAAATGATGCTGGAGCACAAAGTAGACACAGTTTTTGGCTACCCAGGTATGATCATACCCGCAAGCTTCCCCGAATGTTTTTGTTCTTCGAGTGGATCTTCTGCCAGATTGAACACTTCATATCATATGGAGTTTCGTGGCTCCGTTTGCTTATCCTTCAGCCAAGTTTTCCACATGGCTATTTGGCGAATGCCGCCATATTCAGTCCAAATCATCTGGTCTCGGCACACAGTCATGTGTTCCATCATCCGTTCGACTTACGAGTGTTGAAATGTCGCTTATTGTTATTGAGGTAAAGGCCCTGTAAAGAAGGGTTGGAAATAGCAATGAGTCAGCTCATTCTTTCCTGTCGTATTTCTGTTTTGTTTATCCTGATTTCAGAATTATACCGGTTCTGTATTTTCCTTTACTCTCGATCCCAGCACTGAATTATCATCGGAAATTACCGTACATCTGTGTTATGCATTGTTGTCAATACTGCTGTCTCCATGATCTATTACTTTTGGATACTCACACCCCTCCACTGTTTAAACAATCAGGCGGTGCGATCTTGCCAGTGTTCGACGCCATCCATGCGAGTCCACACTTCAAATTCTACCTCCCCCGTCACGAACAAGGCGGCGGTCATATGGCCGAGGGTTATGCTCGTGTGACGTACGTGCATGTTGTTGTTATCCAGTTGTCAATCTATACATGTTGAGTTGAAATTGTACTGTTCTTCACGCCTGAAATACATCGGATATTTGTCTGACACGTCTCAGCAAGCGTGCCTTCTGCTCTGATAGTGTTCACGAATAGTTGTATGCTGCATGTGCGGCTGGCATGATTTGATAGTTCGGTGACTTCTCGCAGATCAAACATGTGGTAGATATAGGGCGTGCCTTCTCCGTCTTTGTATCTCGAACTTGTGTACGCCAAATACCAATCTTCAATCGTGGAGTCTCGTGGGAATACAGATAGTGGTCCCTGCTTGAAGCATGCGTCGTATATTTTGAGTTAGTATTATCAATTGTTTGTCTAGCATCGATCTTGTGAATAAGAATTCTGACATGCATAACGTACAAAACACAGCGGGTTTCATCGATCTTTTGCGAATTGCCAGCTTTCTCGAGGTATTCTCTGCGCAGGCTACCATTTGTGGTTGTAAATCTACGCCAGAACTCACACTGACAGCCCGAATCTTACTATATTAACACAGTGGTAAGCCAGGCGTGGTCCTCGTAACCTCCGGGCCAGGAGCCACAAACACAGTGACTCCACTACAAGACGCACTCATGGACGGTGTTCCACTTGTCGTCTTCAGTGGACAGGTATGCTATCGAGTTTCACACACACAAAAATCAATCGCACATTGTCAAAGGGCCGTACACAGAGGGGCTATGTCGTGAACCGGGACGCGTTTTGCATAACATCAATTAACTGAAATTGCCTGGATATGCAATCGCCAGAGCGCCTGTGCTCACGTGTCACTCCCGATGCATTCACGTGTATTGTGTTATCGGAACTTGCAACTATGTACAGCACTCCACCGTATAGTGACTTTCAGTTTCAAGTTATTTGGCGTTGTCAAATCATGGTCGTATTGTTCTTAGGTGCGTTCTATCATACGCATTGAAGAGCTTGTTTGCCGTACTTACACCCTGATCATCGTTCCGGACTTGATTTATCTCAGGTGCCAACTCACCTCATGGGCAGTGATGCGTTCCAAGAGGCAGATACTCTGGGCATCACGCGAAGCTGTACCAAGTGGAATGTGCTGGTGAAGGATATTCGTGACCTGCCCCGCCGCATTGACGAGGCCTTTGAAATTGCTATGAGTGGCAGGCCAGGACCTGTGCTGGTTGATTTGCCCAAGGACGTAAGTATGGTGCGCGTATACATTCAACGACCATTTCTGATTTCCTAAATCTCTAGTGTTTGTATGTCCCTGGCCAATAGTTTGCCGGTCGCATTACAGATCGCTGTTGCTTGCTTTCGTAGTGTAGTTGTGTGCCGTGATCGCAGGTGCTGTAGATATGCTGTTGAGATCTTTAGAAGCAACATCCGAACGTGTTCAATTTCTCGCTTTCGAAAAGAATTGTCGATACGTGTGACCGCATCTGTGCAAAAAGGTCTGACCTTTCCCGTTGTGCTCCTATACGACGGCAGGTTGTTAACTATGTGCAAGACCTATGCAACCGCCGTTTCCAAGTTCTGACTTTCAATATATTGTCGTATCTGTTGTACGGAAGTTGTCTGACTAATCCCCGTCGAATCCTTGTTAATTGACCTGTAGGTTACGGCCGGTGTGTGCAAGGCCCAACCCTTCCCTCGACACGAGCTGCCCTTCCGTGCCTTTCAACGTCCCGAAGCTGGATTCGCAATGACTGCTGATAAATGGGAAAACGTCGCCAAAATGGTGAGTGAGTTACAAATATAGCCGTCTGTATTATTATGATACAATTGGCGTGTATCCCTGCATATTTGCCCAAGCTGGTTAATAACTTGTTGCGGAGTTTGTTTCCCGACATCTTCACGGATGAATGAATGCTGCATGTGACAGTGTGGGCTTTGCCTGGTGCTCTACAAGATATTTTGCCCCATGTGCTTCGACCCCAAATGCGTAAGCGTCATGGATCTTATGGGTGGCCGCTATGTGCGTATGTATATTTGCGAGTGCATTGTCGCGCACACTCGTCCTGTTGTGTCGATGCAAATGTATTCTCGAATGCTCACTTTCACATACTTTAATCGCAGATTAATAACGCTGAGAGGCCTCTAATCTACGCTGGACAAGGTATAATATCCTCCGATGCCAGCAAGGAGCTTGCCATGCTGGCTGAGCTAGGAAACATTCCCGTGACCACCACGCTGCAAGGCATGGGTGGCTTCGATGAGCTTGACTCTAAGTCTGTCCATATGCTTGTAAGTTTATCTGTTCAAATGTCATTTGACGTCGGCTATTTTTGCCCGGGGGTTGATTCATGTGCCCCAGTTGCCCACGGTGGACTGTAATGAATGAATTCAGATCTACTCTCTGGACGGGTTGACTTCCCAACGCTGTTTCTGTGCTCAAAATCACTTCTTCTTTTTTTTCTTGTGCGCCTTAGCACTTTGTGCCTATTATTTGATTCGAAAGCCGAGAATCGTAAACACACTCTACACCCGCCTGTCTCCATTCGCATCAGCTTTGGTGACTGACTGACTACCAGGATTCTAATTGTAACCATTTGTCTTCTCTTATGAAATCTGTTGCTTGTCTGACGATACACATGCCTACTTTGACGCTGTGCAGGGTATGCACGGATCTGCGTACGCCAACTACACTATCCAAGACAGTGACTGCATCATCGCACTCGGCGCCCGTTTCGATGACCGTGTCACCGGAAATCTGCAGAAGTTTGCCCCCGCCGCGTTCAAGGCCGAGCGTGACGGTAAGGGTGGTATCATCCACTTTGAGATTTCAAGGAAGAACGTGAACAAGGTGTTGAACTGCACAGAGGTGGTTATGGGAGATGTGAAGGTGAACCTGAAGAAGTTGTTGCCCATGATTAAGAGGTCGGAGCGTGCGCCATGGTTCGCTAAGATAGCCCAGTATGTTCTATTTCTAATACGTTTGTGCGTACGTGAGCGCATAGCCAGTTTTGTATAGTTGCGATATTCTGCAGCTCGTGTGGCGGAAGGCTGATCTATCTTTCACTACATTTGTCTAGATCCGACCCAATATGTTGTCGTTTTCAACTCTTCGCATTCCCTTTCATGATTGTCTGTTTCATCTTCCTGAAACGGCTGGTTTAAACTATCTCCCACACGCATAGGTGGAAGAAAGATTTCCCCTTCAACTATAGCAAGACTCCCGGTCCTTCTGGTGCTCTGAGGCCCCAGAAAGTTATTGATGAGCTGAATACAATTGTTCAGAAGATTGACAATCCTACATACTTTACCACTGGTGTGGGTCAACATCAAATGTGGGCTGCGCAATACATTCGGTACGTGTTATTTTGTAGCCGAGATGTTCGTAACGAAATAGCCGTGAGTTTATTATTTTACGACACTCGTGGGCGTTCATTTTACATACTAGGGGCTGTGCTATTCGATTGTTCAAGTGTATTTGATGCTCATATCTATATAGCAGTATGGATTCGAATATTCAATGCGATGTGTTTGTTTCAATTTCAGATTAGTGGTGCGCCAAGTTCAAATGCATTGTCAACGTGGCACACATTCGAATTTTATTCGCCTAGTTATCCCGTTATGTTCTGCGAGTTTGGACTTATCATATCCCGTGTTCGTTGTACACGTTTGTAAACAGATGGAGATATCCCAGGACCTTCATCACCAGTGGAGGCCTAGGAACCATGGGCTTCGGTCTACCAGCGGCTATTGGCGCCAAGACTGCTCTGCCAAATAACATCGTCATTGACATCGATGGCGATGCAAGTTTCTCAATGACGAGCATGGAATTGGTATGTTAAACAAAGCGGATCCATTGTTGGATAGGTAGAGTCTATGAATTGTTGAGGACTTTGTCCAGAATCATAGAATATACTCTTAGAACTTGAGGTGATAAAAGTGTTCCATGTCGTCTGATTGCCGTTTTTGTTTTCTTATTTCAAGATGACTGCGGCCGAGTATGGAATTGGGGTCAAGGTTTTGCTTCTCAACAACAACTTTCAAGGGATGGTGAAGCAGTGGCAAGACCTGTTTTACGACGAGAGGTATTCGGGAACCAAAATGTTCAACCCCAACTTTGCCAAACTTGCGGAGGCGTCAGGAGTAAGGGGGATGACCCTAGATTCGTCGATGAATGTTCAGGAGGTATGTATATAGTAGATGTTCTGTATTATTCACGCCTTGGGTAGTTTTTTTTGTAAATTGAAAGATTATACTTTTAATGTCGCATACAATCTCTGTTTCCGTACAAGGGCGAGCGCATGTTCGAAAGTAAGATTATTCAATTGCGAGCCTCTATCCGGTGTTTATCATTTCATCCCAGGTTCTTCAGGAGTTTATTGACCACGAAGGCCCTGTTGTGCTGGACTGTATCATTGAGAAAGACGAGCATGTCTACCCTATGGTACCAGCAGGCGCAGGATTGCACGAGATGACTCTAAGAGCAAAGTGAGGATGCTGGCCGGCTGACTACAACATGTATACTGAGTGTACGCAGTTGCATAGGGCGAACGACGGTTCGGTTTGCTGAGAGCGCGTTACTAGACGAAGCTAAAAGTGTTTTATCTTCGGGATGCGACAGAATCGTCGCGGCTAATAATCTGCAGATTTTTTAGACTGATCAGAACGTCCGTAATCTTTTTCTGTACCTGCGAGTAATTAGTTCAACTCGGGCTCCATTGAATTTCCGTTCTTTCAATTCGCATGAGAGACTTTTTATATCGGAACGCCGCTGGTATGAGAAACTGGGTATACAGGGAGTTATAATGTTTATAAGTGGGATCTACTCGCGCAATAATTAGTGTATATAAAATATTGGTGGTGTCTGAGCATCACAACCGACTAATAATCGCGCATTAACCATTTGATTTTTCTAGAATATGTCGAATTTTCGCCACTCTTGTTCTCAACATGATGTTACTTGAAATGGCACTCGATCCTTGGGGAGTCTGTTTCATTTTCTGGGAAGCACAGCTCCCGCGTGGAGACGGGGCAATTGGGTTTCGCACAAACCCCTGGGAAACTTCCAGAATGTCGTGCTCTGTACTGCAAGTTGTTATAATATCACGAACTGCTCTCGATTTGATCCTAAATCTGTACAATTCAAACTTACGAAGCATGTACCAGTATTTTCTTGTAGGATTGTATGTCTGGTACGCTATAGTTCTCAGTGCGCTTTAATCTAAATATCGCCTCATATGAAGGACGTACTTTGATTCTAGCGATTTCGATCGTCGTATTGCTTGTATACATTTGCCCCCATAAAGTGGTGCAAGCGTAGCCCTTTATTAATCTTCAAGTTTGTTGTAGGCATACAACGTAGATAGACAACAACAGTTCAGTTATCGAACTAGAATTAAGGAGCTCGCCGGTAGCACACCCACCAGTTGCAGCACAGAACATATCACGTCGTATGTTTAATAGAGCTACGCACAAATACTTCGCAGTGTGACCGTAGCCGGGTATATGAAATTTTTTTTTTGAAACATACCTTACACTTGTCACGTCGGAAGCGCCCTCACACATATCTGAATCTTTAAAACTTACGCCCGAACAAAGTATCGAAATTTTAGGTGCTAGCCGGTGTTTTTTATTGACACTTATACAAACGAGCAACGGACAGCATGTGCAGAGTTGGGGTTTATTCGAATTCCGTCGATTCCAATGCTGATCGCGTGCCTGATGAGTGTAGGTGTCAGTTGCGAATATCCCAGTTTATACCCATTGTGTGGTGTGCCCAGTTCAAGAAACATATTCTACTCATTGTGTAGCAATATGACCATCAAAATTCGATGCACGCACCTAACTCCGTGCGCCAGTGCCACATAGTCGAATAGGCCACCGAATCCCACAGTGTGATTCGTGTAGTTAGTTAGTTAGTGTGTGTGTGTGTGTGTGTGTGTGTGTGTGTGTGTGTGTGTGTGTGTGTGTGCTAGTATGTTATTATATATATAGTGCGGTTGTTGTGTGTGTGTGTGTGTGTGTGTGTG